CAATCAGGTGCAAAGGCAGAGATTCTTGACAACATCATTGTGCATTGCTCATGCTGACAGGGTAAGTTTTAAATTATGGATATTTAAGCAATGGGCAGAGTGAGGCAAAAAATGAGCTACATTTCATCCGAAATCCAGCAGAGGTTAAGGGGCTCACATTTCTGCTCCTCAGTGCCATGAGTGAGTGTGAATATTAAATAGAATATTTGTACCCAAGTTACTTTGAATTTGACAGTCTTATGTATTTTAATTGACAGTATCAATGCTCACACTGCTGAACCTGTGCCTCCAGTCAATCAGAATAAGTGCTCCAGAAAACAATGAGATTAGCTATACAAAAGCAACTATATCCCATATCAGATTGTTTGGTTCTAGTACCAGCTCTGCTCTTCATTCCAGCTTCCTACCAATGCACACCCTGGGAGACACCAGGTGATTATTCAACCACTTGGGTCCCTGCCACCCACATGGGAGACTTGAATTGAGTTCCTGGCTCTTGGCTTCAGCCTGGCCCATCCCTGACTGTTGTGGGCATTTGGAGAATGAACTAGCAGATCTGTTTCTCTCTCTTTTTCTCTCTGCCTTTTAAATAAATATAATCAATATATAAAACTTTTTTAAAAGGAAAAACAGCTATATTTATATAATGAAATTTGGAAGTGAAGCACAGTTGAGTTATAGTATATATGTTTTCACAGCTCAATATATTCATATAGGGTAGTAGATGAATTCTTTAAGGAAGAGAGAAAAGAGAAAAATAGTCAACTAAAGACTTTCCAAATGAAAGTAGACACTATCATGTTTTGTTTACTCTCAACTGCTCTAAGTTCCCCCAATTAATACTCTTTTTGGTCATCTCCTCCTTAAAAAAGCTTTTTTATCCCCAATCTACAACTAGCTAGCGTCACTAATTTTTCCACACTTAGGGTAGATACTAGCGTATCCAAGTCTCACTGAAGAGTTGATATAACTTTGTCTCAAGGAATTTGGTGGCAAAACAACCTTCAATCAGTTTGCACTCCAGCTGATGATAAAATATATAAATGAAACAACTAGAAAACAGTCCAAGGTATGTCATGGTGCTTTGGTTCATAAATGTGTTAATTAGATTAAAAAAGGATTTAGGAGGGAAGGATCTGTTTTATAACCAGGAAAACAAATTGATTTATCAACTTGAATTGAAAAGTGCATAAAAAGTTTAGTATTTACTCATATATTCAGGAGAACTGATCACCACCTCCACAGCCACAACCATGCATTACATGTGCACAAGGTTAGATCAAAGTGGTGGCTAAGAATATTACATTCTGCAGTTGTTCAAAGATGACAGTTGAGAAAGTTTGATGACAGAGGATAAAAATAACACTCATTTGGGCATAAATGACACTTTTTAAAATTGAACTAGGTAAACTTTCTTCATTTCCCCCACATCCCTAGAAAAGCAAGAAAGCACTTTTGCAATATTAGCAAGTTCACTATCTCATCAAATTGTAATTATTTTCACTTTCTGAAATGAAAAAAAAATACTATCATAAATATGAGAATAAGTTGAGGCAATGATAAAATAATCAGTAACTTTTGAGTTTAATTCAATTTTCAGTTTTCTGGTAAATAATGTACATAACCTCTGTTTGGCTAATTTTTCCATAGTTGTAAAACAAGTTAGCTAATAGCAACAGAAAGGCAGCTGTGGAAGCAAAAATGCTTACAATCGGAATGTGTTTTGTTGACAAAGAGACTATGGCCTATTTACTTTTTTATGTAAAAGAAATGTGGAATCTTTAGCTACCAGCTTGACAGTCAGTTACAAAGACCAGAAAGCACCTCAACGTTTCCTCTGGAGCATATTATCACTGCACTCCAGTATCAGCACTGGGTAGAAACACATGTGCTTTATCATACTTTGACCTTTATACTTCAAGTCAAGGGAATCCTGAGCAAGGTCAGTTTTCCTATCCTGTGTGCACTTTCCATAGATGTGAAAAAATATTTTGACAGCATTTGTCCTGGGTATTTCATTTATGTTTGAATGAAGTAGGTTTATTTTTATGCTGGTGACTTTGCAAGAAAACAAGGCCGGGAGTGGCATTTCCTCAAAGGCTAAAAAGAGGCATTACCACCACTACCACTACTTGCCAGGGGATTTATAAAGCATCTTGAGGCTCAAGGTTAGTATAGGAGATACGCCAAGCTTAGGAGAAGTTAACACAGAGAGAATGGTGAGTGTTTTCCCTCCTTTTAGGCAGCTAGTACAACAAAGTAGTTCAGATAGTAACCCCTAGTGGTCGGGTAATGATGTCTTCAATGATCACATTTTGGTTCATCTGTTTTCTTTGTTCTGGTGAGGGTTGGAATTGAAATAAAAAATCCTTGAGGGAAAAGCTATTTTTATAATTCAGCTGGGGTGTCCTTGTCTTTGGGTTTCCCATTGCATCAGTCCCTTTGCCTGGCAAGATAGCCATGATAGTGCTTTGTCCTTTAGATGAAACGCAGAACTAAGGACATGACTACTGGTGCTTATTAAAGATTCCTTGCTATTTTCACAAGAGTAGGGGCGTTAGACTCTTGTCTACCGGCCAAATTCTAAATCGGGAGATTACATTCTGCTTTCCTAAATTCCCCTAGCAGAAGCAGCCATCCATGGTATCCTACTTGCTTCCTGTGCTAAACTGTTGTGTGATGTCATAAAACGGCTCTGGTTATCTACTCTAGGAGTGATCATTGTTTTTAGTGGGATAGGGAGCAAATTGGTACCTATTGTTTGCTAGTGTATTTGGTCTAGTTTCCAACAAATTAAAAGGTAGGCTGTAGAAATTTAGGAGAAAGTATAAAACAGACCAAAACACTAACAGTGTACCATTCATTGTGGGGTTTTTATTTTTTAAAACCAATCTGCCTTCCTGTCTGCAACATAGATCAATAAATGCATTGTTTACTCCACTAGCAACTGACACTAAATTATTATTCATAATTATTAAAAATAATTAAAAATTTCAAACATGAAATCACACACCACAAGCCAGTTAACTGTCTCTTTTGTCTTTAGGCTGCATCTACCTTTCCTGGTAGATGACAGCTGGTGTATTTCATACAATGTTTTTTGAAGGGGATTCTTCATCTTGCCTTGGTAACATATTTAAATGTTTCCAAATCTTTTCCACACAAAACCCTAAGTTCTTATTTTTGTTTAACCTTATTTCCAACTACTATAGTTCAATGACACTACTGTAAATTTATCCATCACTAAACCTTGTTACGATATATTTGCTATTGAGAAGCAGTACGGAACAATGGCATAGTCTTTTGAATCAGACATATCTTCATTCACCTCCAGGATCTGTCACTTTCTAGGTGTTATGATGTTGGGCACATTACTGCTGAGGGCTAAATGAGCAACTCAGAGCATCACTGTGAAAGTCAAATGAGATAATACATTATTTTGAAGGATTGTGGGGGTAAGATGAGGCATGATACTGAACATCTAAATCATGCCCAATACATAGTAGCTATTTTTCTGATTATATACTTTTTTTCTGATTATATACTTATATACTTTTGCTGATTATATACTGGCTTAACTTATAAACCCTGAGAGTTGGAAGCATGCTTCCTGTGTGTGCACTACACTTCAACAGAAGTAGTGTTGTGAACATAGTATGGTGCAGAAGCTCAAGGTTTACTGAATTTTTTATTTTCTATCTATTTGCCAAACCCCACATATTAGGAGCAAGGGTCACGATGACAATCTTGTGCTATTTCCAATTATACAGATACCTGACTTTGCCCAGATGTTTGCTATGGGGTAGACACAATGCAAATAACTTATATATGCTGTTTCTACTTCTATTTCATTTCTATAGATTTTAATATTTGACTGTTGTCATTTTTCCCATTAAGCTGTGTATTAGGTGTCCAGAATGGGAGTGATTCAATCATGTCTCTTCATCCATTCAAGCATTTTTAATTGAAAAAAGTTTAAAAATGAATACTAAGAATTATATATAGCAGAACAAAATCTTTCAGCTTGTGATTAAGTACACTACCTGCCCTATTCACCTGTAGGATCTGTGCACTACAGATGTATTTTGAATTGTTTTGTTTTCCAAGCCAAAACAAACAAACAAAACAACCTGAAAGCCCACCGCTGCAATTCTCAAAGTATGAACATACTTTGAACCAGTGAGGTGCTGCTTAGAACTTTGGTTTTTGCTTATAAACGTTTTCACGAGGCTAGGAGGGGGGAAGTTGGAGGAGCAAGTACAAAATATATAGATTCAATCAGGCTTCAAGATTTGTCGAGAGGAAAGAGTGTTTTTTTTTTTTTTTTTTAACCTCTATTCTCGGAAAACCCCTGGTGTGTGCTTAGGTTGCTATTAAAGGCACCGCAGCGTGGCCATTTCCCTGACTGCTTTGTATGTACTTTGCAGAGGCAGTCTCAGGTGTGGAGCTCCGAGCACCTGCTTGCTCTCACTCCAACAGTTCAGAAGCCAGCGTATTTGAGGCCGGGTGGCTCAGGTTCCATGTAACTGGGCTCAAGTGTCACTAACACTACGTGCAGCGAGGGTCACCGAGCTGTGCTTTGGGACTTGGATGCTTACTCTGGACTTTTCTCCTTTCTTTTCCCCCGACACTAGCTTCCCTTTTCTCTCCTGCCTTCCCGGCCATGCCTCCCCCCCCCCTTCCTCCTCCTCCTCCTTTTTCCCTCACTGTCCACTGTCTCGCTCTCTTTCTCTTCACCTTCTTTTCTATTCGGCTTCCTATCTTCCATCCTCTGCGGGCCACAGGCAAGCATTGGGTCTGGGGCTGCTGCTCACACCGGGAGCGAGTCGGGCGGGACAGGACAGGCGCTAAGCGCTTGGCCGAGAAAGCGCGGAGCGCGCGCCGAAGCGAGTACGCGCGCGGGACAGCCGCGTGGCCGGGCAGCGGGCTAGGAAACGGCCCGCGCGCGCGCGCCCCGCGAGCCCCCAGCGCGCCCCCGGCGGCCGGGGCCGCAGCGTGCTCGCCCCCGCCGCCAGCTCGCCTCACTTATGGGTCGGAAGCGCTGCGTGGGGGAGACTGTTCCAAGATGGCGGCGGGTTGCTGCGGGGTGAAGAAGCAGAAACTGTCCAGTTCGCCCCCCTCTGGCTCGGGTGGCGGTGGTGGCGCCTCCTCCTCCCACTGTAGCGGAGAGAGCCAGTGCCGAGCTGGGGAGCTAGGACTAGGAGGCGCCGGTACGCGGCTCAACGGTCTGGGAGGTCTAACCGGAGGAGGTAGCGGCAGCGGCTGTACCCTCTCTCCCCCCCAGGGCTGCGGCGGCGGCGGCGGGGGGATCTCCCTGTCCCCACCTCCGAGCTGTGGAGTGGGAACCCTACTTTCCACCCCGGCCACCGCCACCTCTTCCTCGCCCTCCTCATCGTCTGCCGCCTCGTCCTCATCGCCAGGCTCCCGGAAGATGGTGGTGTCAGCGGAGATGTGCTGCTTTTGCTTCGATGTGCTCTACTGTCACCTGTACGGCTACCAGCAGCCCCGGACCCCCCGGTTCACCAACGAGCCCTAGTGAGTACCGTGCCCCCGGCCGCCCTCTCCCTTGCGCTCGGGATGGGGCTCAGAGTTGAGGGAAAGTGCGAGTCCGCCTCCTCGCCGGCGGTTGCCCCTGCTCCTCTGGCTGCCCGAGTGCCCGGAGCTACTCGACTTCAGAAAGGGCACCCCGCGCTTTCTACCTTATGAGGCCAGCACCCCACACTTGGAGCAGGCTGCTGCCGCGAGGGATTGCCCTAGGCTCCAGAGGTGTTCGCTCTCTCTTGGCAATAACTTCTAGGAGTTTGGCCCCTTTACTCTCTCTCTCTCTTGCCACCCTCCACCCCACCTCACTTTTGGAGATCTGGATTACTCCAGGTGTTGACCTCTCCTCACTCAGGGTTTCCATTGCCCCATGTGAAAATCCCGCCGCTCTTCCCGCCCCCTGGACCCTGCACTTACAGAGCTAATTTCCCATTGCCGCGTGAAAAATAGCAACTATCCAACTTCTGTTCTGTTAGTGATGGAACTCAGCTCCGGAGCTTGTTAGAAGGTTACCCATCTTTTCCTCCGGGTTTCCTTGTGCCAGGAGTGGGGGTGTTTGAAAACACATATTCCCTTACTACCTATTTTCATCTGAACATACCCATTAAAATGTGTCTCTAGCGAAGTGAGCGCACCGCCGAGCTTCCTCGCATTTGAAGAGACCTTTTTTTTTTTTTATTCTACTGTCTGGGTAATAGCTCATTCAAAGAGAGCTGTCCTCTCATACCACTGCCAGTTTGTACATTAAGCGTGTATTCGCTTTTGTGTTGATTTCACTTTTAAGAAATCTATGTTATACTCGAACGATCTGAGAAACAGTTAAACAGTCCAACAGTACATGTGTAGGAATTTTTATGGCTTCTTTTGGTTTTGTACTCTTATTTATCCTTCAAGTGTGTGGTTGTAATTGCTCAGAATAGCATTGTTACAGCTGAAAGCTCCGTTAATTCGAATCCTTGTCCATTTGGATATGTGGTAGATGGGGGAGACACACACACTCACACACACACACACACGGTGTGTAAACTGAGTGTAAACTGGCTTTTGAGTTAAATCCTAGACAGAGTGTAAAGACCAAGAGAGAGCAGAATGAGAAAAGGGGTGATTGTTTTTATTACGAGTACTTTGCATCAACAAGAAAAATAATAGAGAAAATTTTCAGCAAAACCTGTACCGAAGAGTGTCAACCCTTTTTCTACTTAAGACAAATGCTCCTTATCCTTCATGTCGTAGATACCTGGATTGATATTTGTTTTAAAATTATGTTTTTAAATTTGTGAGATTAGAGGATAAAACTACTGGATAAGTATATAAACACTTCTGCCTAGATGAAAAATATTAATATGTACAGTGGAAATCACAATAAAGTGTCCTGGAAAGTGTGCATTTGTATTCTTTGGCTTTGATGCTTTAAATGTCTTTAATTTTGTATGACTCTTCTGTGTTCTGAGCATTTTCTTTGAGACTTGGTTCATCTGTGAGTATTGGTTCATGAGACAAGCATGAAAGGGCAACAGGCAAATGCTTTGTCAAATAAATTATCTTTCTAAATTTTATAATGTTAATTCCAGGAGCTTAAATTCTGAATCCACACCTTTACTTAGCCACTTTATTTATTTATTTTTCTGGTTAAGAAATAACATTCATTTTGAATAGATGGGTACATAAAGAAAAATCTATGAAGTGTTTGTTAGCTTGTCACTTATTTGTGACTTTTATGCGTTCTCCTGGGTGTCTGCAATACATAAAAGCTAGTCCTGGGATGAGAGTTAGGTGGCTATGCAGTCATGGGATGCAAAGATTCACTGTTGGTTAGTTCTTGAGCTGTTACATGAGTTTGGCAAAAGCTGATTTAGTATTCACGCTCCATTGCTCCAAAACATATGAGAACACACTTTTAGAAGGTGCTATTTTCACACATTTTAAAGTGAGTTTGGGTTAACTGAATGACTGTAAGAAGAATTTTAAAAGGAAAGTGAGCTTGACCAGTTCATATAGAAAAGGCTTTAGGAAATGCATTTTAATAGTGGTCACTTGCCACACATATTTAGCTATGTACTTCTCTTCTAGTATCCCAGCTGCTGGATTTCTTTTTCAAGGAATCAAACAGCTACATAAGACGCTATTCACTGTGAATATGCTGAATTGGTGGTGGAAGAATAATAACTATTATCATTTAGCAGGCCTTGAATGTGTCATGTATTCTACAAAACAACTAATTTAGAGTAGACACTGAACATGACCAAGTGGAGAGTGAAAGTTCACTTAAGTGGAAAGAGGAGTGTGTCTTATTTTCATTTATCTTAAGCTTATTTTTGCGGTTTACTGTGGAAAATTCAAGATTTCTTGATTGTAGGAGTGAAATAACTACACACTTTTTTCCCGTTTTACATATTTAAAGGCATTGTCTACTTATTAGTGTGACTTCGTTGCTAGGTGCCCTAAGACATAGACATGTTGGATTTTTTTTGTTTTGTTTTGTTTTCCTCGAACTTACTAGTTTTATGTCAAAGAACAGTGTGTTTCAGGTCCTTTATCTGTTCACCAGAAGATGTGCTTCTGACCATTTCAAATTGCCATATGTAAAAGCACACTTTCATCTCCTGGGATATGTCTGTCAGAATGTCTGTAAGTAGTGAAGTCTGCCTTTTTCGGTTTAGAAGTTCTAGATCTGTTTGTCACCCTTCCATCCAGAAAGGTAATACATGCAGTTTTTATAATGCATATCTCCCATGAACTTTTTGAAGATCTTGCGTATATGAACAGGTCGTGTGAATACAGTTTCTTCATTGTTGATGCTATTTTTTTGACTACTCCACTGCAGACAGCATTGTATGGACACTTTGTCCACAGACATAAGGGTCAAGACATGAGAAAAACAACATTAGGTGCATTTTATTTTTTCAAATCTTGGTTCTATATTCCAGAGAGACCAAATAGCCATTTTATAGGAACCTGTTTGCTGTTGAAGTATAAAGAGATCCACGGTGCCAGAGCAAGTCGTGTTCAACTTGGCCACACATTGGAATTACTAGGAAGTTATTAAAAACATGGAAGCCTGGGTCCCAGCCCCAAATTCTGCATTAATTCATTTAATGCCTGGGGCCTTGGGAATCAGGATTATTGAAAGCTCCTCAGGTGATTTTAATGTTCAGCCTACGTAGAGACCATTGAGACCCACCGGTTATATTCTACTAGGTCTTTCTCTTGAGACCTGGACTAATTTGGTAGGTGGTAGTTCCTTGGAATCCATATTTTGTGAGCATCTTGGGTGATTTTGATAAACAGTTGGTTTGGAAAAGACTTACAGAAGTCACCTAGGAACTTGTTAGAACTATAGGCTCTCAGGCCCCACCCCTCAGACCTGCTGAATTAGGATCTGCATTTTAACAAGCTCCCCAGGTGATCTTAGGCACTTTAAGGTTTGAGGAGGACTGGTTCTCAAACTTTAGCATACCTCGTAATCTCCTATAGTGCTTGTGAAAACACAAATTGCTGGGCCCCTTTCCCAGAGTTTGTGATTCAGTCAGTCTGGGGTGGGGCTGTGAATTTGCATTTCTAACAAGTTCCCTGTTGGTGCTGATGCCACAGTTCCCAGGACCACATGTTGAGAACCACTGGGCCAGAGAGAAGTGAGGAACTGAATTAGGACTTGAGTGACTGCATGAGAATGGCATTTTTTTTTTTACTGCCAGTTTCCAGAATAAAACTTCCTGCTATGTCGCTATCCTTTATCATGTTCATTCTAACTTAGTTCTGGGGAGATTGAGTGCTGCCAAGAGCTCAAGAATCTGAGGTTCCTGATGGCTTTAGCTCAGGAAAGAGCGATGGAGGGGAGAGAGAGGTTGACTCTTGGAAACCTGTGGTATGATTTTAGTATTTTTACAGAAATTATTAAATGTGAGGAGTATATCTTAAGGGTTAAAAGCAGCACAAATGGGGTATCTTAAAGTGAGTTGTATTGATTTTGGTAAGTAAAGCCCCTTTTCTTCTCATAAAAATGCTTTTCATGATTAGCTCACTCAATAACATGTTGTGATAAGATTTTAAAAGCTCTTATTTATGCTTATGCTTGCTGGATTTCATTTAAGAATTTTCCTCATTAACAAAGAAATATAAAGGGATCCTGTTAAGGCACTTGGATTGTTCAGCCTAACATCTTTAACACTGTGTTGTATGTCACATACCATGCACTTTTTGTTTTAATCATCTTACCACCTTTGAAGTTAATGTAATGGTACATTTTATATAGACTGTAGCATGTAAATTCTTTACTATTAAGTGACAATAAGTGTAGTTTTCTATTGCAGTGAATAAAGTGTATTTTTAAAAAATCACTCTAACCTGTAGATTTTAGGAAATTAATCAGGTGTTTGAACAGTTAACTCTTCTTCGTAATATAACAATAGTTAAATTACTGTTTTTCAGACAGCTTGGGAGGAGTTAGGTTGTGTTGGGGGAATAGGCACTCTGTGTCACCTAAACAATAACAATCCTGTACTATCAAAAAGATGATTTGATAATGCAGCTCAGGTTAAAGTGAAATTAGATCAGCATTTTAAATACAAGCTAATATATTTTTATTGTGTGGGTTTTTTTCATGAAGATCAGAATAGCTGGAAGATTATTCTACTAGGCCATAACAGATTTCCTTATCCATGCCAACCTAATAGTACTAACTACTATTCTCTGACTATAATGTATAGTTTTTCTTCAAAAATAAAAACATTGAAAAACTGATGTGCCTTTTTAAAGGTCCAATATGATTGTATTTTCAACAATGTTGATTTACATCGAAAGACAATCCAATGTCCTAGGTTACTGACAGGAAAGAAAACAGGCATGCCCCCTTTGTCATTTTTGCTGTAAAAATCTGTCAGTGACTGAAGTGGAAGGACGTGGAAATATAAATTACAAAATTATTTTTATATCTGTGGATAAAGGTGTATATAGCTCAAAATATATTTAGTTAAAATGAAAAATTCAATGCTTAA